TGTTTAGTCGGGAACTTCGGTTGCCAGTGGATCTGTTAACAGGACGCCCACCTTATGAAGAGTTGCCTGAGAATGTGTCAGAGTTTGTGAAAGTGTTATTGGAAAGGATGGATGATATTCTCCATCAAGTGCGTTCAAACTTGAAAACGTCTGCTGATTCGATGAAGTTAACTTATGATAACAGATCTACTGAAGTCAGCTTTGTACCAGGAGACAAGGTATGGTTGTATAATCCCAGGAAGACCAAAGGGAAGTCTCCTAAGTTGTCTTCTCCATGGGAAGGCCCATATGACGTGACTTTCCGGGTAAAATGTGGTCGGCGAGGTAAGCCAAAAGTGGTGCATGCCAACAGGCTTTGGTGTTATCATGGTCCAGGATATTTCAGTTGGGACGAGGTGGACAACAGAACAAATGACGCTGCTGAAGACATGCCACCTGAAGAAGCCACCGTCGAAGAAGAAACTCTACTCAGTTTTGAGAAGGGAAATGGTGAAGTTACTACCACTGATGTGACTGTTACCGACGATAGGACATTTCCTGATGAAGGAGACGAACCCCACGTGAAGCAAAAGCTAACGAGACGGAGACCAGTACGGAAGAAAATACGTCCCGTAAAATTAAGAGACTTTGTTGAATTGTAATTTTGTGTTTGTAATTCTGTACATTTAATTAAGTTATTGTTAATTGTTATAGGGTTAATGTAAGTGGCTATTGTTCGGGACGAACAAAACTAAGGAAGGGGCAGTGTTACGACATCGAGGTCACGTGAATAGTATCACACCACGTCATTCTCGAACTTTCACGTCTTTTCCTTAAATCTCGTGATCTTTCTAGATATAGTTTAGTCTTGTGTTTATAAGACCGGCCACGAAGCGACGGGGAAGTAATGAGTAATTGAACTGCAGTCAGAGAGTGTGTAATTGAACAGAGTATTGTTGAAGTCGAGCACGTGAGACGTTCGTTGAGAATTTTAGCGCGACTGTTGAAATTAAGTGTATCGCAAAGTTATATTCAGAAAGAATAAACCAGTTGTATTTAAGAAAGGACTTGTGTCGCTAAAGTTTCATTGGAACGAATTTACGGAAAATTAACTAACGAACGGAGACGTAACAGTATAAACCAAACCAACTAGTGTTTTTTAACCCTTGTCATAACATAGCTGACTACTTTCAGCCATCCATTATTCGTATTCAGTTGCTTTTCATATAATGTATTATAGGTAATTTTAACGTCTTGCGTTTCATGAATGTGGAAGCTTGTTTCTGCTTTTTATTTCAGCAGTAGGTCCGTTTGAACTCTTGCACTGCGGGTCGAATCAAGGTGAAGAGACACGTGCCAAGTAAGTGTGATACTTCAACTGTTAAAACCCAAGTTGGATCATTTATATAAAAACTATTGGAATTGCTGAGTCATTTCATTTTGGATAAACAAAATTGATTTATATCCTGGAGCTTTTTTTTTTTTGCCTGATCTTAGCGTTTATATTACACTAGGTATTATCTTGTGTGGCGCACTATATTCAACATTTTTGAATATTCTTGAGCGGAAACAAACACACACATACATAGTGTTCATATTGATCTGCATGTTCAAAGTTTACAAACTCATCAACATTGACTACTAGTTATGTATACTTATCAACTTCTTCAGAGTAATGCCATTTCTTTTGTGATCGTTCATTTTGTCAATTTCTGGTGGTGGATTAGAATGATGATGGCTCATTTGTTTATATTCTTCAGTTATATCAGTGTCCTAAATGGTGAATTACGACATTTTAAATGCAATACATAACGTCATAATCGACGCTTCAAAATAGCCTGTTCCTTCACTTAACAATAGTAGGGCGTGGTATTTTCAGACTTTTTGAATTCAATGGCCTTATCTTAAATTGGAATAACTCGTGCGTTTTATCTATTTTTTCTTCTTCCTCTTCCTCTGAAAAACGCTATATTTTTACGTAAGTAATAGACGGTTGGAGACCGAAATGCATCGGTTGTGATAAAGAATTAAGGACTAATTGGTAGCCTTAGAATTCGTTATAACAGTACACTCATATAGATATTGTTAAACAATGGAATTAAAAGCTAAAGATAGAGGTACTGTCGATGTAGGCGTAGGTACAGTTAGTACTTGTGTTATGTAGTAAACAAAGTTTTTGAGGAAACGCAGGAAGGCTGATATTATACACTTTGCTGTGAAGCCGTCATACTTTTATGTATTTTTTATCAAGAGTTTCTAAAAATAGCTGCAATGTGTTTTACGTGATGTATGTGGTTTGTAGCTTTACGGTTAGCCATGTTAGCCAATGAAGGCTCAGACAAATCTTCCTTTACAATTGATTTTCATTTAGTTCTAGCTTGCATGTAGCTCGGGATGGAATTGGGGAATATTACATTGGAGGAAACTTTTCCAACTTTGAGTTTCAGCTTTGTTTAACAAAGAAAATGTTCTACTTTCACTGATATGTATTATTATGAAATGTTTCTTTTTCAGCTATTCAAAAGCAGTTTTTAATACTACATTTGCCATCGAGAGGAGATAAAGCTTCGAGAAAATTAAACGTACGTCTCTGTTTTCATACAATTAACGGAACAATAAAAAATCTAAGTTGATTATGCTTTTAAACATAACAATCGCAGATAATAAAATAATATTACGTTAATTTGTACTTAGGCATAACTAACGGAAATAGTAACAATATTAAATTTGACAATGAACAATTCCTAATCGGTTTGTTTGTGAAATATGTATATATATTTTTTCTGTGATCGTAAGGAAAGTAGTAATAAATGTTTATCATATATCTTGATATTCAACATGACTAAAACACTATTCAGGAAATCCAAAGCTTTGAATATGACGAACACGGGTATCGAACCAGAGTTTTAAAGAATAAGCTCTCAAGCTTATCGCTGAACTATTGAAAGCTCAAAGCTTCAAATGTGGCTAAGAGAGGTATTCAGAGAATTGATTTATTATATCATAAAAATTATTTCTAAGCTTTATAAACAGAAGTAATGAGAAATCTTTAATTGGTTGTATTTAAGATTAAAAAATAAAAATAAAAACACACACCACTAAACTCTGGAATACTTTTTTTTTGAAAAATGTAAATTATTTCTGATTTTTAAAATTGGTAACGAGAAGATAAACTGAACACTTTTTTAATTACCGGATTTAAAACATTGTATTTAAAGACAAATATGCTCTTACCAAAGGGCATGGTCTGGTGGTTAGGGCTTTCGACTCCCAATTTCAGGGTCGTGAGTTCGAATCCCCGTTACCGAACACACTCGCTCTTTCAGCTGTTGGGGCGTTATAATGTGACGGTCAAACCCACTATTCGTTGGTAAAAGAGTAGTCCAAGAGTTGACGATGGATAGTGTTGACTAGCTGTTTTCCCTCTAGCTTATCACTGCTAAATTAGGGATGGCTAGCGCAGATAGCTCTCGTGTAACTTTGCGTGAAATTCAAAACGAAACAAACAAACTCTTACAAAAAATAATTTTGATTAAAATAAAAAGTTTAATTTTAGAAATCTAATATTTGTATCATTCAATAAAAATGTAAATGAAGCTGACCACACTTACAGAGACATGATCCTGCGATTTAGGCCAATTCAAAATTCATGATTAAAGCCATTAGTGTGGAGAAACAGTCACTTCCTTAAAAAACAAAAGAAAAACCTGGCACTATTTGCTTTTGTCATACATCTATTCCAAAGATAAAAATTGTTGAAACTGTCTGGATTAAAATTAGAAATATAGTTGCAGTTTAATAACGAACTTCTTGCACGCTAGGTAACCTAATTTGTTAACACTGCTTTTACCCGAAATTATTTCAGTTCTGCATCTGCTAAGACCTGGTACGTTTAAAACTACTGCTTTCCAGTACATTGACCAAAACAATTATAAGAATTGCAAATGAAGAGGATATAAATGTGAGTTTATTGGTACCATTTGCTTGGTCTTTCTTGAGAACCAGCTCTATTAAATTTACGGTTTAAATAAATTAAATACGAACAACTTTTTAAGAATTTGTGAATTTTCGTATTTTGCGCCCTGCAAAAAATTGGATTGCCTGTTTGTGATATTTTAAATCTAATTATTCCCATTTTGTAATGGTATGGTAATGTATAACATTAGATCGTGGACAGTGGAAAAATATTTGTTTGCAACTATATTCTTTACGTTTGCATCATAATTATGGATTATATAAGAATGTAAAGGAACCAGTAAAAGTAACTGAAGGTTTGCAGAAAAAAACGTTGTAGAGCTATGGAAAACAATCGTATCATTAGTTATATTCCTACTACTAAGATCGCCTATAATATTTACTTTGTGTGGTTCATTATTCTGGTGTTCATAGGTAATGTATGCTTGGACAAGAAAGACACCACGAAATCTCTCTTACATGAACATTTCTAACAGGACCGCGTTATGTTTGTTTCTTATTCTTCACCTTCCGTTATGATGTAACAGATTAGGATTATCTTAACTTTAACATTTTAGACAAACTATTTTAAATATCAGATATAACATTCATTAGACAATATCTTTTGTATATCCCCAATAAATAAATAATATATAAACTTAGTATTCCGTGTATAGGTTTTTCTCATAGTGACTACAAAGCACGTTCACACCAACAATATGTTTGATACATCCCCAACGTTTTGAATCGAATAACATCAATGCCACGTCAAAGGTAGAGAGAGCATTTTAGCATAATTTTTTATTATATATATATTAATATATATATACATCTAAAACTGTTTTTTTAGAAATTGAATAAAAATCATTATTATTACTAAAAACAATGAGAGACCATCATTAGGCAGTCCTGTCAGAGAAATTTCTCGATGCCTTTCTCGTCCGGATATCAATGTGTAGCAGTGACGTCATTATTTACTGCTAATCTTCACAAACTTTCGAGCATTTCGCTGCTGCAAGCATCATCCTGCTCGTATATGGTAAAAACAAAGGTGCACATTTACTTAAGGTCTCATTCACCAGACCAAAAAGGAAGTTATTGTACTTAATAAATTTGTCATCGTCGTGCTTGTTACAGTAGCCTCTGAGTCATAGCTCTACTTAGATAATTTAAAAAGATTAAAGATTTTATCGCCTTGAAGACAGTCACCTACCTTCGTCGTGCTCCGTTTCGCCTTCAATTTAATTAGTCTCAGTAACACCTACGTATTAGATGTATGGGTGAATCATCTATGTTTACAGTTGTTGTTTTCTTTTTTTTCTTTTGCAGGTTGAATGAAATGGAAATAATCCTGAACGACCTGGAGCGCGCTAACCAGGTAAGTATTTGTAAACTAGTTCCCAAGGCCACCAATGGGTGACCATTCTGAGACTCCGTAACACCTGTTTGATTCCCATGCTCCCTAGCTTTAAATTGTGTCATATGGGGGCGCTCTTGCAACAGTATTTAGAAGGGCCAAGAGTGAAGTGTTGTGAGAATTCGAAATTGGATAATTAGCCCACGCTTTCCAACTTATTGTAGGACACACCGCAAGTTTGTTCTTACTCATTGGTGCTGGTGGCCATCTGCCTTTACTGAGTCTTAGCAGGTTGCTTATTAATCGGATGTTATTAGAGTTTCGCTACTCAGACCTACTTAATTGGATCTCCAGCCGTGCAGAGCTATGGCCATCCTTCGGATGAGTTCTTACTTGAGTGTAGGAAGGTTTTGATGCTTAGTCTGGTCAGATATTAATTGTCAGGTAATTAAAAAATAAAGACATGATCGACCACCGAGTGTGGCACTTCGCTTTCGGTAATTACTTCAAACAGCAGACCTGTGGCGAAGAGACGTTAACATGACGTGAACGAAGTAGGATTGTTTCTTTGCCTTTGAATCTTGATAAGGCACGTTTTCCAGTGCTCATAATTCCATATATCTGATTCTGGAACTCGTCGATGTATCTTCTTAGAATATTATAGTTACCAATAGACGTTTACCTAGTGCTTAAAAGATGTTAAGGATCCTAAGTATTCTCAAAACACCACCTTCTGGGTATTTTCAATGAAATTAAAACAAACTTTGTAAAAGGTTCGGCCGATATAACTGATAACACTTGATACTTAACTATTACAACATCACCGATTGTAGTGAAGACATCTTTCTTGTGCACCCCCCCCAGGTAATTCTGAGGTAAGCCTAAGGGCTCTTATAGCACTAAAAATAATGTTTCGATACCTGCGGTGGGCAGAGCACGTATAGCCCATTTTGCTTAATACAAACAAACAAAAGTTTTTTGTCTTTTTTCTTACACGTATCCTGCAGATCTGTCTACATTTTAGATTATTTACACACATCTTTCTACTCGTTCACTTCAAAAGAGGGTTTGAAGTTATTTAACCCTCCAGCAAAACTTAACACATGTTTTCTTGACATTTTAATAAACCTTTCATGGCGTAAGCAGAATATATTTTCACTGACGTACTTTTAGTCAGTATACAACAGTCTCTACAAATTGAAAACAGCTGAGTTAAACCATATACGCAGCAGCTATATTATAATACCTTTTAAACTTTATTAATTGTATTGAAGGAAAATACAAAATAAATTGTTGTTGTTATCTGGAATTGAACCTCTGGTGAGACATCAGAATTGATCCCTGAATCTCAATAATTAGGAAAGGATACAAATTGATCCCTGGACTTTGCTAATTATGAGAGGTTACAAGCTGATCCCTGAACTTTCTTAACAGTGAGACTTCGGAAGTGTATCCGTGGAATTTCATAACTATAATATCTGGAAAGTTGGACCTAGGATTTTGATAAACAAGAGATATCGAAAACTGTTTACTGGTATTTTATGTTTATGAGATCTCGGAAGGTGGAACCTGATTTCTAATAATCACGAGGACTCCTAAATTAGTAGTGATTTTTGATCATCACGGAATCGTGGAAGTTTGCCCCTGATTTTTGATAATCATGAAATCTTAGAAGTTGGCTCCAGAGTTTTGATCATCATGAAATCTCGGAACGTGGCCCCAGAGTTTTGATAACAATGAGATCTCGGAAGTTGGCCCCAGAGTTTTGATCTTCATGAGATCTCGAAAGTTGGCCCCAGAGTTTTGATCATGATAAAATCGTGGAAGGACCCCAGAGTTTTGATAACCATGTGATCTCGCAAGTTGGCCCTAGAGTTTTGATAACCATGTAATCTCGCAAGTTGGCCCTAGAGTTTTGATAACCATGTGATCTCGCAAGTTGGCCCCAGATTTTTGATAACCATGTGATCTCGCAAGTTGGCCCCAGAGTTTTGATAACCATGTGATCTCGCAAGTTGGCCTTAGAGTTTTGAGAACCATGTGATCTCGCAAGTTGGCCCCAGAGTTTTGATAACCATGTGATCTCGCAAGTTGGCCTTAGAGTTTTGATAACCATGAGGTCTCGGAAGTTGACTCCAGAGTTTTGAGAACCATGTGATCTCGCAAGTTGGCCCCAGAGTTTTGATAACCATGTGATCTCGCAAGTTGGCCTTAGAGTTTTATAACCATGAGATCTCGGAAGTTGGCCCCAGAGTTTTGTTAACCATAAGAGTTGGGGTATTATTCTTCTGTATTTATTATCATGAAATTTAACGTTAAACAGAATTCATGTTATTAAGTATAAAAGTTTAGTCTTATGAAATACGAATTGCAGAAATAAGGTTGAAAAGTATGAAAATTTGAGGGTTGTTGGTATTTAGATGCGGGTATTCAGAGATTAACATCTAGTAACTGTAGGAGTTAAGGAAACTAATGTAAAATGGAGGTGAAAGTTTGGAGTTTCATATTTAATAAGAGAAGCTGTGGGGAATTTACGATTTTTGTTTTATATTTTAATATTTATTATTGGTGGAACTTGAATTTTTAGGGGATGTAATTTTATAAGGCTATACAGATAGTTAAAATTCACAAGCTGGTATTTTCTGTTTGATGAACTTGAAGACTAATATTAATACTGTTTTTTGTTTTCTTCGAGGTGTTTAAAGGTTATTTTATTTTTTACATAAACACGATTAAGAAGATGATTCAGAAAAAACAGAAAAAGAAGTGTATAATTTTGAAGAATTACAAAGTGTTGTATATCGTCAATCAATTCGAAAGTCCTTGAATAAGACCCTGACATCTTATCTGAACAGGGATGCCCGCTAGTGGGCAGAATAAGGAATTAGCTTTTCTTCTGGTCCACCAGGTTAAGCAGCAAAAGATCGGCCCCCAATGATGGTATACGTTGCCATTCTACGTTTTTAGGATACCGAAACTGTCTGGAAAAAGATTTAATATAATATAATGCTCCTGTTAACTGGAATAAACGACACAATAAAACTTTTACAATTTTTTAATGTAGAATACGTTGGAATCCTAAACTTTGATTAACAAGTTAAAACCAGCTAACTATAAAAGGGGATGTGGGTAGCTTGGCTCAATCAGTAGCATTATATTCCAACAATGGAATTTCGGTAATGAAAAGTTATATTCCAGCCACAGTACATTGTTACCAATAGTACGTTTGATCAAAAGTTATATCACAACCCTAGATCGTTGGTTACTAACGATAAGTTTTACATTCTGAAAATTATTATCTTCTCTTCCCAGACATCGCGATTTCCACTGTGACATGCTTCTTTGGAGAATGTTGAGATCAGTCTTAAGCTTGTTTGTTTGTTTGTTTGTAGTTCTGCACAAAGCTACACAATGGACTATCTGTGTTCTGCCCACCACGGGTATCGAAACCTGGTTTCCAGCGTTGTAAGTCCGTAGACATATCGCTGTGCCACTGGGAGGCCAGTCTTAAGCCTCATATTTTATTAAATTTTCAGTAGATCCTGCACTTTGCGTGTAAGTTGCCTTCCAAGACCACGTTTAATCAGATAAAAGACAACATTTCACTGGAACTACAACAGAGGTATGTGGTGGAATAGGTTTACTGTGATTCTATTTTCTTCGGCTTTCTTTTACCTGATAACAGCCATTGATATTGAAATGTGGCCTGAAGCTTATCAACTTTTGTTTTGTGAGTCAACTTCAAATCTTTGTTTATCACATTGCTAACGATAACAAAAAGTATGCTCAGCTTCATTGCAATGTTTTGTTGTTGTTGTTTTTTTTTGGGGGGGGGGAGTAAACGGGTTTTAGTTTGTAACTATAGCGATCCTTTAGCCATGAATAGGATGCTCCAGATTGACTTGGGGTGTGGTTATAGAGGTTTTACACTCTTCTCAAAAAGTCACATGGTCTATAGTTTACTACGCCATATTGGACGTCAAGTGTTTATATTTGTCTTAGGTGAAAAAGTACAAATTTGTCTTCTAATATCGTGTTATCTTACTCTGTAAATCGTTTCAACGATGCGCATAATAAACGATACATCAAGAAACCGAATAGCCGTAGAGTTTCGGATCGGTATCTATTGTCATGTAATAACACGTAAAACTTTACCAAATATTTTATTGATATGGATTGTTGTTTTTGCTAGAAGGGAATATTCGACGTCCAATATGGCGGCGTTGAATGAAATAGGAAATTTTGTGATTTCACGTGCAAGACCTCTTTGTATCTTATGGTGCGAGTTTCTCTGCGTCTAATGAGAACACTTCGTCAGTTTGTTGTGTTCTTTGGTTCTATGTCGTTTAATATTCTCATGAAAGGAATATTTGTGGACGTGACTGTGGTAAAGTTCTTTAGTCATATGTCTACTCGTGATGGCATTGCACATCAGCTAATCGGGAATTCGTTTTTAACCAAATACGTGAGTGATAAACATGTTGCTGTGTCGCCATAGCCCACATTTCCGAAAACACCTCATTGCATTAGCACACATAACTCGTCATTACAAAGTATGTGATCCAGCTCTTTAACTATAATATTTGTTTGTTTTTTTTTTTGCATATTTTCATTTGAATTTCGCTGCTGTTGGAATTATTATGCAGAATTAGCTGGTAATCCTAAACAATGAAAGTCTTCAGCTACCGGAAGTTTTTGTCGTTGTTGTTTGTTTATTAGTATTTCTTGCACCATTTAGAGAAAATATTTTAGACAATATTAGAAACATTCCGCTGATGCTTGTAAATACAAAAATCCACATTATATTAGAGTGTAACACTCACATTGTTTCCAACGGCTCCATTAATGTTTTATGGATACAAAAGTTTCTGAAATACTCGTTAAAATTGATGGGCAGCGTTATCACCAAGGTTTGAAGATGGTGGCTGACTAGAGTCATTATAGAAAGGGAAACAGTTGGAGTATCTGGTTATGATTATTCGTTACACATTTCAAATGGCACCATATCACACACAACCTGT